TGGTTTTCTTTACAAAATGTGGTCAAGCTCTGTAATTTTGGGAGATATTCTCACTTGGGGCTTTTGTCATGGAATTGAAATGATTTCCTTCTCAAATTAGCTCTCCACAGATGTCTTGTAAAAAAAAAAAAACAAGATCCAGTTTTTGAGGGTGATATTGTTGATTTTAAAAATCAGGCTTCTGCTTTTTAGTTTAGCTGATGATAGTATAGTTTTATAGTTAGTACAAATGCAAAGTATCTCCTAATTTCTTGACCTGTTACTTTGATTGATACGTAAAGAAAGTGCTTTAAAAATCGTAACCAAAGGGTTTGAGAATGGACTTGCCATATTAATGAGAAGGAGTTAGCAGGTGGTGCTGTGTTAGCTTTATCATTATTGTATTACTTTCTCCTATGAATCTCACTGATAGGCATATTAAAAGTTAAGGCCTTCTCCAAGAATAACTACATTATTTTGCTAAACACAAGGTTCATTCAGTAAAAAAAACTTTATATCAATCAGCTTCACAGAAATGATTACCCACGTTAGACAATACAGTAACTTCGGTAGTGTTTGGATAAAATTATAGTTTAAATCAGAGTTTTCAGTTTAGTGTTTTATTCAAAATGCAGATTCTTGGACCATACTGTGACCCAGTGAACCAGAATTTCTTAGAAAAGTTCTTCAGAACTTACATTTTTCTGAAGCTCATTATAAAGCTTGAGAAACTCTGGCTGAGACCATACAATTATAGTTGGGTACAAGATGGCATTATGTGGGAATGCAGAGGAAAGCTTTGGATTAATATTAGAAGCCTGGATGTTTTTATGTGAGTTCTGCCTCTTAATGGTGGTTTGATCTTATTAATCATTTAACCTCTTTACACATTATAAAATTATATTTACCCATCAGGGTTGTTATAGGAAGCCGATGTGGTCATGCACACGAACATACTTTTTAATCTGTATGCTGTGATGCAAATGTAAGATAGCATTATTATAGTTATAGTTAACACAGATCTTAAATAATCATCCAACTATTCTAATGAAGTTGTTTCTTTCCTATGTAATGTTAAACATTTGAAAAATAATCTAGGTGTCAAAGCAGAAAATGCATTATGAAATGCGATCAGGGTGGAAACCAAGCAGTAAAGATCAGCATCTCCAGTCTGAGTTGGACTGAGTAGATCTGAACATGTGGGGAGTGTTTTCAGGCAAAGTGGAGTCCAATAATGCAATAGTGGAACACTATGTGCATAGAAGAATTAAACTGCCTTGAGAACACATGGAAAATGAATGCCTATGCCTGAGTCTACGTCACAAAAATCTAGTAGCCATAAAGATGATCGGTTGAAAAATCAGGCGTGAAGTGCTACAGCTGGAGCAGCAGCTGAGTTCTGGAATGCACAAAAGAACACGGGACCATTTTTTCCCTCATACTTAGGGCCCTGAGTCCAGTTCTTGGCTTCCTCATCAATAGTCTTTGTTAAAACCAAATGATAAGACAGTACAAGTGTGAGAAGTTGTTTGGAAAGTATAACTTCTGATCAGAGGACTAAAGGCTAGAGAAGAGAAAATAAAGAACCCCTCTTGTGAGTATTTTCTAGTTTCTGAAGGGCGAGCCTGAAATAACGTCAGTGTTATTCAGTCATTTAGGTTGCCAATCAGTTGTACAAAAAAGGGGTTATTGCCACCACCCTTCGTAACTCCTGAAATATCATGAGCCTTCTGATCATTTGGTCAGTCAACAGATATTTCCGGACTACTTTGTATTGTGCCAGACACTGCATTAGGTAGATACTGGAGGCATCCCTTGGGAAGCTATGGCTTGCCTGTCTCATGCATCGTATGCCTCTGGTATGGTGAGCAAAGGTGGCCATAGTTCCTTCCCTCCCTGTATCCACACCCCCTTTACAATGTGACAGCAGCTACTATCATCAATAGATGGAGTCTATTTTCCACCCTTTGAATATGGAACCTGGCCCACCATTCAAACATGCCTAGCTAACGAACAAACTGGAAGATGAGGATCCATGTGTAGCTGGCCTTTCTTGCTGTGGTTATCCTAGATCAGTTAGTTGAAAGCTGATCTGGAAGCTGCTGCTGACCACAGAGTGAGCCCAGCTCAGACGGGAAGAACTTTCCAGTCCAAATTACTAAACTATAGAATCACAAACTAAAAAGTGGTTGCTTTAAGCTACTAAATTTTGGAATGACTTGTTACACAGCAATGACGGAGTAGGCTTTAACTATATAAGCATGATCCAAAGTTAATTTTGGGCACCATATTTTCTCAGAGGGCTTATCAAATTACCTTGATAACTGCCAAATCTCCACTCCACTTTGCGCTGTATGGACATGGTCTCAGTGTACAGCTGTCAGAATACAGACACCCTGGGAAGGTTTGATATTGGATCTCTGATCTGCAGAATATGAAGTTGACTAATGTGCTTGAGATGTGACATATATAGTATACTATATTTCTTGGAGAAAACACAAATACATAGGCAGGACATAAACACCTACAACAATACAAACTTCAAGCAAACAGTTAAAAACTTAATGCCAATCCAATTAGCTTTGTTTCCTAGCATGATGGCTCATGATGTTCAATAACAACAACAAACAAACTGTTCATCATATTCTGAATTTGCACAACTCATCAACTATGTCCTATAGACACAGCTGTAAAGCCTCTGATTGTTCCTTCAGATAATTTTCTTATTTTGATATATTTTTGAAACTATGAGCAAAGGCTCATGTATTGTTCCAGATGTGTGCGTGTGTAACTGCCTTGATTCTAACGATCACATTAGTGGAAATTAGCAAAAGGATCTTTGATTTATCTTAATTTTCAAATATGTCAGAGTGTCTTTTCCTCTCTTCCTGGCAGCCACGCTTCTTTGTCCAGCTCTCCCAGCTGGGCATTTTGGGAAAGCAGCCAATGCCGGGGCTAATGTGTTTCTGCTGTTATCTGACACCGATGCTGCTTCACAGAGGCAGCAATGAAGATAAGCCCTAATTGGATGTATTTTTAAAGCAAACCTTTTAGTTACTTAGAACAGAGATTCCCTGATTAGCTTCCTTTCTTCCCTCTCTGGCTGTGCAAGAACCACACTAATGTGAAAATGCTGAATTTGGAAGGAAGTCAAGGACACTGTCGGGGACAACTGAAGGACAATCATGCTGAACTCAGAAACGCTCCAGCAGACAGGCTGGAAGCTGTATTTCCAGGAGAGAGCAAGGTGAATTAAGGATGCTCAGAGAATGTGACAAGAGACCAGGTTACACTACCTACTGCCACACCCTAACGTGCCTGGAAGGAAAGGGAAGATATGGGTGGGCACTGAAGGGGAAGGAACCAGGACTTTATAATGGAGCCACCACATGCTCCAGCCGAAGTATTTTGCTTCAATGCAAAGTATTTTAACCTTAGTTCAGAAGCGGGGTTTTTAAATTGCATTTTTTTTTTTTTTTTTTTTACTATATTATCCTCAGATTGGACTAAATCTATTTAAATCCCCACCCTCTTAAAGTTATGAGCTTTTGATAGTTGCTGAGAAGAGCTGCTTAGTAAAAGGAGCAGGTTTAGAGGACTTGATGTGGAAAAAAATAAAGTAGGATAGAAAAACATGTCTTTCTGGCTTTTATTTCTGAAATGGGTTTTGGACTGAGACATAATAAGTGAATTTCCCTTTGCTTGGAAGTGGGTCGGCCACCATGACCTCATGTTCTCTAGGGGGTGCGAGTTCCCGTGTTCATTTTAGCATTATTATCAGGGCTATGAGGGTTAATGCCCGCTATGGGCCACATTAGTTGTGTGGTCAATTAGAAAGGGTGAGTCTGGGCTGGGCTGAGTGGCGGTAATGGGGTAACAGGGGGCAGGGAGGTGGGGCATGATGGAGAGACAACAGAGAGGAAGCAGCTGCACTCTGTCGTAGCTAATTCTCTCTCTGGCTCCTTGACTTCATTTCCTAGTCATTTTTATGGGACCATTTGTCCCCATAAGACTACCCTCTGTCCTAGGAAATTTATCTAAGGTTATGACTCAAGAATTTACTGCACAAGTAGTTTGAATTTGAGTTCTGTGTTTTAAATTACAAAGGCTATAATTTTTGGATACTGGCACCATTATTTGAAAGTTTACTTAAGGTAATATTAATAATTAAGTGATATATTTGCTATACTTTACAGATCATACTCCAAATTTTGCAAACCAATGACTTAACAAGGCAATAGGAACTTAGAGAAAGGTTTTCCTCTTTCTTCCTTTTTGATGTCTTGTGCAATTATAATAGTGTGTGTAAATCTTGAATCTTTCACACAAGCCCTCATCTATACTCTTCTGCACATAGGAATGCATCTTCTATCAAATTGTCACTCCTCACGGTATTAGCCCCAACTGCTATGATAACTGTTATAACACTAATTTAGTTCTAGTAAGTAATATATTTGACGTTTACTCTCGAATTCATGTATAAAAATTTACAAGCCAATGGTTTTAATCAAATTTGGATTGGCCATTTTTTGTCTTTTCTCTTTTGCTATCACACTGATTTGCTGAGAATATCTTGTATCCTTCACCACAGTCAGCAAAGTGCTGACCCTTTCTCTTTAACCACAGAACCAGAGCAAGACTGGCTTTTGACAAGTGACAGGGATGTTGGAGTGGCATGCATAAAATACATAACTTGCTGGGAAAAACGAGAAGAATTCTAGATCAGGATCACTCTCAAAATATGCTAAGCCATTAATTTTGCAAAGAAGAAAAGTCTGTGAAGATAGTGATTTTCAGAAGCTTTACAGATTTCTAGTTGGCGTATCTCTAAATCTAAATGAATACATACAAATATGTAGAGCTCAGTTTACGTAATAAACACCTCTCTGGCACTATGTTCACAATTTGCTCTCTTCCTCTTTTATCTGATCTCCTAATGGATTAAAATCTTGGATTGGTGCAAAGCTCTATCATCATTATGACATCCTCAACAGGTATACCCAGTTCTAGAAGCTGCCTACCTGGTGGTTAGTCCTATCCACTGTATGGGCCGTGGAGGGGTGGTCTCTAGTGTTCTGACGAATTCGAGTGGAGTTTTGCTGCTCAATGGCGGAGGAAGTTGGGATACAGAACTCTCTGAAGCATCGTTTGAAGTTTTCGTCCAGAAATGCATAAAGGACTGGGTTCAAGCAGCTGTTTGTGTAACCAAGAGCAATGCAGAAATGCCAGGATACAGTCTGAAAGGTAGTTTCTGGGATTGTTATCAAGGCTTTAATGATGACGTAAATGTGAATGGGAGTCCAGCAGACAATGAACACAGCTACAACCACCAGCACCATCCTGGTGATTCTCCGCAGGTTCCTGTCCTTTTCTTTGGAGCCAGAGAGCATACGGACACTCTTGAGACGTAAGATCATCAGTCCATAGCACACTGTAATGATGAGGACAGGCATGATGAAGGCAAAGATGAAAACACAGATTTTCAGCAGGTTTTCCCAATACCAGGTTGGGTGAGAGAATGTTAGTGTGCAATCTATGGAACCTAGATGAAAAGAATTATAAGGAAGAATTAGCAGCAACATTAATTATGTCATTAGGGATTAACACTGCTGTTTTGCTTACTAATTTATAGCCTTGACCTAAGTACATAGGCCAGCAAAGAAAGATTTAAAGAAACTGTAGGAGAAACTCAGCTCTCTGTTGATATTCAGGGAGAGCTAGTTTTATTTTATTTTTTTAAATATCTCATTTTGCTGTCCACTTTGATTGTATTAAGCTTTCATGCAGTCAACAATTATGAACCTCTCACTATGAGCTACTTCCCCTATGGGGTCTATGTTGATATAAAAAAATATAATCATGGTCCAAAGTCTACAAGACGTTTCAGCTAATGGATGTTTTCACTTCACTTTTTGATGGGTAAGGTTCATCATTCTGCTATGAGGTCTGGAAATATAAATTTGCCACATAGGCAGCCACATTAAATTGTGAAACAAGCCTCCACTTAATGTTTTTGGGTTTAAGCTCTAATTATTCTTGGGAGAGCTATGTTCTTATTTTCCCATCATTTTGATGAACAGCAGAGAAATCAGGAACTAACAGATTATATTCTCTTTAAAATGTTTAGCAAGATTAAAATTATAGGGAAAAAATTCCTATTTCAAAATATTCAAAGGCATTTTGCCATGAAGAATCATTAAAATTACAGTTCAACTAAGACATCGGAGCACACCATAAATTCTGCTTGGCTCCTGACTTCACCAACACATTGATCCATAAACTCTCCACCCTCAGGGCTGCAGCATTGCTCACCATGCCTGTATTTGGTCGTTGCCATGAACATTACAGGTAGACCAATGGCCGAGGAGAGGATCCAGTTACAGACGTTGATGATTTTGGCATTGCGGGGAGTACGGAAATCCAGGGCCTTGACCGGATGACAGACTGCGATGTAGCGATCGACACTCATGGTACAGAGGGTGAATATGCTGGTGAACATATTATAGTAATCTATGGAGATCACTATCTTGCAGAGGATGGTTCCAAACGGCCATGTTCCCATTAGATAATTGACACTCTGGAACGGCAGGGTACTGGTCGCTAAGGCATCTGCCAGAGCAAGGTTGAAGATATAGATGTTGGTGGCAGTCTTCATTTTGGTGTATCTAAGAGATGAAGGAGGAGCAGCAGAAAAGTCAGGAAAAGACAGCAGTGTGAAATATTGATGCGCTTTCAATAATAAAATAAATGCAAGGATTAGTGGAAAGCATTTAAGATTAGATGTGGAAGAACTCTTTCTAGTACTAGAGTGGCTATTTATAATCATGTGCCTATGGGCTGAATATGTAATTTCTCTACCTATCAGTTTTCTTATCCATAAAATAGTTATAACAATAGCTGCCCTACTGAGTTTTTATTTATTTGTTTGTGCCAGGCACGGTGATAGGTGTAATAAGCACAGGGAATGCTCAGTCAAGTATCCAGATGCTGGATAATAAGTTATATTAATTCCAAACACATTAAAAATCAGATATGTAGTTAAAATTGTGGAGCAATGTAACCGTGAAAGGGTACGTATGTATATGTATGTATACATATACATGCACACACACACACACACACACACACACACATACAGGTCGTTAAGGGGGCACAGAGATGAAGAAAAGGGACTAGAAGGGGTAACATAAGGAAAGAAGGAAGGCATTCTGGGAGCGTAGATGCACAAGTTGGTAGGAGAAGGTCACTCCAGGAAGAGAGAATCCAAACACGGATAGAGAATTGAAATGGCATGAGGTGTGTTTGGTCCTGCTAAAGGGTGAAATCTCACCTGGGAGTGACAATAAATCTGATGGAGGAAGAATACAGAGGCCAGTTCATAGAGGCACTTGTATGCCATGGTCAGAAGATTAGACTATCCAAACCGTGATGGGGAAGCTATGGTTGTTTGTTTTGTTTTTATTGTTTAATAGCTTTACTGAGGTGTATAATTAAAGTGCATGATTTAATAAGTTTTGACATATGTACACATTTATGAGACCATCATCATACTCAAGATCAGAGATTAGTAAACTACGGCCTTCAGACTCAATTGGGTTGCTGCCTGTTTTTGTAGATACTTGTATTGGGACACATTCACACCCACTTAATTACTTATTGTCTATCAGCAGTTTTGATGATATAACGGCAGTGTTGAGTAGTTGTGACTAAGACCTTACTGTCTGCAATGCCTGAAATATTTACTACCTTGCTCTTTACAGGAAAAAAAAAGCCAGCTCTTGATCAGGATAACAAATATGTCAATCACCCTAAAAGTTTCCTCATGCAGCTCTTTAGTCTTTGCATTTGCCCTCCCCTCTCCACCTTGTCCCCACCCCCACTGTTCCCTGGGCAGTCACTAATCTTGATTTGTTCTCTGTAATTATAGATCAGTTTGCATTTTCTAAAATTTTATATAAATAGATTTATTCAGTATGTCCTCTATTTTACATAGCTTCTTTCACTTGGCATAATTATTTTGAGATTTTGAGACTCATCCACATTGTTGCATGTTTCAATAATTCATTTTTTTTATTGCTGCCATACTGAGTGGTATTCTATTGTATGAATATGCTGTAACTTGTTTACCTATTCATCCATTAATAAAAATTAGGTCACATCCTGTTTTTAGATATTATAAATTAGGTGTAATGAATATTCATATACAAGGCTTTGCATGGACATATATTTTTCTTTCTCCTTGGTAAGTGTCTAGAAGTGTTCTATGTCTTTAAAGCTGTAGAAATTAGAACTACCCAGTGGAATAGACAAGCAGGTACTGACAACACTAATAAATTTTATCTCATGGTAGAAGAACATATTGTAAATGTATCATCAAATTGTCAAACACGTTTGACATTCTGCATCTACTTATGCTAATTCTAGTAATGGTGCCTCAGTTTCCCTCTAGGAACCACTCATTTCCCACTCCCAGTCCATCTGCTTTGCAGTGGGCTCCATTACCAGTTCAGGGCATAAAGATGTAAAGCGACCAGGACCATGGAGAATGGTTAGCAATGTTTCAATGTCTCACGTTTCACCTAGAGTCAATGGGATTATTTGGGGACTTCTGGGGAAAGAGAACATTATTTTTCCCATAGGACTCAAACCTGAGAGCATGTAAAGAATGTAGTTGCTGGAAGAGCCTGTCTGAAAATGGATCCAACCCAAAGAGTGTAGATTTGACCGAGTGAGAGAGAAACCTGTACTTGATGCCAGGTCTTTCCTGGATTTTTATTACATGGCACAATACATTCTTTTTAATCTACGGTTATATTCCCTGTTTTTCAGTCACATGATGTTAAGAGTCTAACAACCAAGATGGCTGTTGGTTGGAGGAGATAGTATTACAGACTCATTTGCTTAGGGCCTTAAACCAGTGCTGCAGGAGAGTTTATTTGGTTTCAATAAGCCAAGAAGCTGAGTTATAAAGGAGGATTTCATAAACCCCCTCAGGTCTAATATGCTTGATCTGTTTCTTAACTTCAAATATTCTGGTGCCTGATTTAGTCTAATTGTAGAAGTTACATAACTGCTAGAAAGGCTCCTCCTTTTCAGATTTGGACTTTTTTTGACTTGCTTTAGACGTTTCACTTAAAGGAGTTTAAAGGGAAAAGGTAGAGAGAGCCATTTAACTTAATGAGATAAACCAATTTGCTTTTTGTAAGGACTCTAAATGGGGCAAACATAAAAAGATAATTTAGACAAGACCCTCCAAAGTACAAAAACAAAATGAAAAATGTGATTTTCAAAATTTTAGAGTAACTGACCTTGAGGCTCAAGAAGTTTAAAAAATTTTGATGTTGTTTATAAGCAGAAATTTCTCCCCCACTGCAGAATAAAATCACTTTTTCTAGGTACGCCACTGATTATAGACTGGTGTGATGTAAAGGCCCACTCAACTGCATTTGTCACTTTCCCACCCCAGGGAACTTCCGTTTCACATCTCCTCTCTAATAGAGTGTTTTATGTTAAATAATCAGGTTCTTTACTGTCAGGTTTATGACTCATCATACTTCTAACCTTTTCATCAGGCTCATCCTAACAGTAGATACTTACTGATGTATGTTTATTTCAGTTAAAAAAACAAAATCATTTCTTCTCCCAGAATGAGATGTTTGTGAAACAAAATTAGCTTAAGATTCTACATCAGAAAAGGAAAAGTGAATATTTATCTATAAAAGCTGTTTCAATTTTATTTATCTATAAAAGCTGTTCCTGTAAAACAGCATTTTACAGGAACAATGCTGTTTAATTATTCTCAGTTTATACAAAGAGTCTTCTAAAGAGAACCAGTATTCTTATCCCAATTACTCACACTTTGAATCACAGTAACATAGAGGGTTCAGCAATCTCCTAAATATGTAAAAGAGGCTTATACAAAAGTAGAGGTTTGAGAATTCAAATTGCTTCTAGTGTTATCTCCTAACACTATAATCTAAAGGGACAGTCGAATCAGAGAAGAAGCCAGGCAGTCCAGCAAACGTGAGCTTTTCATTCTGTTCTGTTCTGGTGCAATGGTATGTAAGTTGCTCCAGAAAAAGTTCCATGAACCACCGGAGTTGTAGGAGTCGTAGGAATATGCAAAGCAGAGCTAGCAAACATGCCAAAGAGGGAGCTGAAGAAAGCATTATTTTTGTTATTCAGTTTACCCGAGTTGGTATGAATAGAACATTTAGATATTAACACAGAATCCTTTTTCCATCCTTTATACCTATTACTTATTTCTTGCTGTGCCATGAATGAGGTTAGTAGCAAAGTGGGCCTAGGGAAATGGGAAGGATGTTTAGTACGTCCTTGGAATATCTCCCTTAGACTCACAGAGCGGTCTTGACATTGACTGGTCCTGCTTTGTCCACTGAGTTGGGGTTTTTCCTATAGTCAGTGGCCCAAGATATTATTTTCTTTCTAATGACTCCATTGAAATTTTCTTAGTATGTATTTATTTAAGTTCATTCTGGGTGATTGAGGAGTTTATTTGATGTATGAATCCAAATGAATCACTATGCAATTATTATTATTATTTTAAAATTTATTCTGAGAACCTTGGCTCGTTAGAGTGATTACATGGAGCTTCTAAATGCTGTGTTGGGGAATTCCAAATTCTGGGTTCCATACACACCTTTTATTTATAAAGGTCCTTCCTTTTTTGAGGTTATGAAATAATTCCTATCCATCTTCAGACTGATTCGTCATGCCATTTTCCCAACTATTACCACTTACCAAAACATCATTAATTTTAACCAACTTGCCCTAAATGAAGCCATACCAAAAACTCATGCATACTGATGGGCTTTGAAAACATTTTTTTGTTATTTTGTTTTTAAGTTAATTCTTGAAGTGATGACTCTATCTCTGTCCAGAAATAAAACTGACCAAGGGAGCTGGAAAAGAGGAAGAGCACATTCCAGAACACAGCTTGTCAGTTCTCTACCTCGTCTCGCCCTTCACGTTTCTCAACCACCTTTTCTAGGAGTTCGCAACAGAGCCTTGGGGTGTACAGAAGACTTTGCCTCTTTTCGGGCTGATTTCTGTGTCTGCACGTTTTTATCAAACGAAGTTTTTCTTCTTTTTTCTCTCTTTTGCTCATATCAGTGAAGAAAAAAAGCCAGCTAATTTAGTAAGGATTCAATGAGCATCTTTTATATATGTTGAGGGTCCCAGGTCTGGCTGTGATCCAGGCTCGCGGCTAGGGATAGGACTCTGGATTTAAAATGTTACATTAATATAGAAGAGTGCCTGTGCCTAGCTTATGTAAGTGTGACTCAGCTTATTGTTTATTACGCATATGTGGCAGAATGCCACTATTGTTCTCTGACGTGTATGAAGCCCATGCGATCCCCTAGCACAGAAGCTTGTGCTCCCCTCAATAAAGCTGGCACCTGCCATTTCGTTCTCATGTCAGCTCCTCGTGTGTTCTTTCAACTGGGCGTCTCACCACCGAAACCTTCCCTTCTTGATCAGCTCAGCACTGACATATGTTCAGCACTGTGCTTGGAAAGATACCTTTTTTTTTGCATCTGCCATGACTTTTATGTCCACTTGCTCCCATGTAAAGAAATCTACATTTTTAATGGAGAGAAAAATGCCCCAGAGTGTCATCTTTTAATATCCATGATTAATTGGA